TAGAAGTTTTCTAAAGATTTAAGTGGTAAGAGACTCCTGAGTTCCTTGATATAAGTAGCCTTTGCATTTTCTCTATTCAGATACTTAGATTTTCCTTTTCAATGCCATATGATAGAAATTACTTTATTTTTCCAACATTTACACTGTTTCTTAAAACTTAAAAAATGTAAACATTTAAAAAATATTCCATTTACTTTAAAAATGTAAGTGAATAATAAAATATACACTGTTTCAACTTTTGTTTTAGGAAGTAATTGTAAGACGTATGATTGACTCTGATGATTCACAAAGGTATAATTCTTTTAATGTAATTTTTTACCTCAATTATATGCATATGGTATTCTATCTGTTCATATTTTGTTGATACCAGCTTATTTCCTTAAATTGATACCATTTTCCTCAAAGTGGGTGCAAATTAAAAGAATAAAATCTGTTCAGGCTTTAAATTAAGTGTTTGGTTAACTGACTATTCATTTTATTACTTTTTTTCTCTTCTGCCATTCTTCTTCTGTAGAGAAATACATTTTTTTTAAAGAGGAAAAGAAATACTTACAAAGTAAAATGTTTTAGGAGTCTTAACTTGGACAGCTATGCCTCCATGTAAATAAGGTTCCAGTCCTGTAGTATCACCAATGCTAAAAGAAAATGGTGATACCACTAAAAGAAAAAAAAGAAAATCATTATTTATTGAAATAAATTTGAATTTCAAGGTTTATCAAGATGTCAATTTCCCATAATTTAAAAAATTAAGAAGATCCCAATATAAATCTTTTGGGGGAGGGGGTGCGGGGGGGTATAGAGGTAGGAAGAAGTGTGGAGAGCTAGACAAACTATTTTCCAATGTGAATTTAAGTACTTAAAAATAGCCAAAAAAACTCAAAGGGAAAAAAATTAATGACAGGTGCTTATTAGATATTTAAATATTTTATAAAGCCTCAATAACTAATGTTGGTACTAATTACACATAATTAATAACAATTAATATAGCATGATACTGGCTCATTAATAGACAGGCAAACAAACAATATATTAGAGAACTCAGAAATAGGCTCACAAGGGATACAATTAAGAAAATGGCAACTCAAACCAGTGAGGAAACGATAAGATTATTCAAGAAAACTTTCGGGAAAAATGCCATCAGGCAAAATATCTATTCCAAATGGATGAATGTTTTAAATGTTGAAGATGAGAAAAATATATTAAGACAGAAGAATGGGAGAAAAATTTCTTCAAAACTTTGCAGTAAGGAAGGCTTTTCTAATAAAATAAAAATCATAAAAGAAAACTTTTAAAATTTGATATATACACATAGTAAAAACAAATCATAAGCAAAGTCAAATGCCAAACTAGAAAAAAAAATTGCAATTTATATAAAAAACACCGACAGATATTCCTTATATTTTAGGAATTCCAAGGAATGGTTAAATAACCAACAACTCAACAGGAAAAAGGGCAAATGATAGGTGATTCACATTAAAGAACGAATAGCCCTAAAACTTAAGAAAATACACTTATCTCATTCATAATGTGTAAAATGCAAATTTAAATTATACTGTGATACAATTCATTAATATGAAATAATATGCAGCCATAAAGAAAACTTAAAGGAAAAACAAAAAGAATGTTCTGCAATTATTAATGTGAAAAGATCATGTAGCTATTTGGTTTAGTGAAAAGGCAAAGGGTAGATGTATAATATGATACACTGTATGTAAAAAAAATGTAAGGAAAGCCAGGAAGGACACATAATAAACTAAGAACCAGTGAATGGATGAGAAATGAGTGGGAACCGTAGGTAGGCAGGAAAGTTTTCACTGTAAAATCTGACCTTTATTGTGTTTGAACAATTTCCTTATTAAAAAAATTAAATGAAATCAACAGTAAGTTCTTTCTCCCCATAAGTCATACATAGATTAAGTAGAGAAAAAAGACCAGCAGAATAAACATCAAACTTAGCTGCTTAGTTACCTCTGGAGCTAGGAGGAGGCTTAAAATAGTACTCATTTTAAACTCTATTTAAGTATATCTATCTATCTATCTATATAGATAAGTGAGTAAATATGTTGCAAATGCTGTTCACTAAATGAGATACATAACATATAAAGTTTCCTCTGAAATGTCTTAGGACTCTTGCTATCTTAACTCCCACTGCCAGGCCTGCCATAGCACATCTTTCAGTTCCTTGAATGCCTCTGTCTCTGAATACAATAATCTTTTCACCACCTTCCTAAGTCAATCCAATCAACAAATTTGAATCAAGACACCTTGTCTGTACTACTGTAGCACCAAAATTGGGTAGGTTTTCTTGCTAAACTTATAAAGACTTATAAATGTGCAGAATAATGAGTAATTATAAATGAATTAATAAAACACATCAACTTACCAGTTATTTGTTGTGTAGATCCATTTAAGCCTGTCATTCCATTAATTTCTCGAAATGTTAGAAATTGTCCTGTCTCAAGTTTGTGAGGACGATTTTCAAGGCAGGTGACAATGCCAGGATTAGCCTAAAAATAAGAGTAATCTACTAACAAGTTCAAGTATTACTTTTTTCGTACAAATTCCCAATCCCACACAAAAAAATACCATGTAATTATAAAATTCTCAACCCCCGCCCTAAATTCCAAGCCATTCTTCTCTTTAAATAAGTGTAACAAAATAATGATCAATTTATTTTATTTTAAATGCTTAAAATATAATTTTTATGCATGGGGGAAATAGAGATTCCAATAAGAGTTGCAACATTTAAAGCAAAGAAATACATGTAGCCCAGCCAGCTTCTCAGGATAAAAACAAAAACGAATTAGCTTATTTCACCAAAGAGGATGGATGAGACAGGTGAAAGGCCCAGACAGTTTCTAATTGCACATAATCTTGTATACTTCTTGACTAAAGTGATAATAATCTATATGAAATCTAATGAAATTATTATTCTCTCTTTCATAATAGTGTAGATTCTAAAAATTATGATCACAAATATGTAATGTGATATGGGTTTGCTGGTATCCCATGGAATTTATTAAGGAGAAATAATTTCTTGCAGATAATTTATGATATTTTCTAATTCTTTATGGATAACTTCATATTTCCTGCTTTATTCAATGAAAGAAAAGACCAACGCAATACAAGAATCCATTATCTCCCTTGGAGCTTATTCTAACTATATGATATTCTCAGGAACAAACCAAAAACAACTATAGAAGATAAAAGGCTAAATAATAAACCATTCTGCTAAGAGATGCACAGAATTTTTCAATAAATTTTTCTTAAAAAAAGGCAACATTACATTGGGTTAAAAAATAAAGCATAAAGATAATGTACTACCAAAAATACAACATCATTCACTTATGTTGACTTCTTTGGAGCTTTTAATGTAAACTGATTATAAAAAGTGCAAATGAAGTTAATGATTTAGGCTAAAAAGAAAGAGTAAAAATGAATCATAATGATTTTTTCCTTTATAGGGAATAAAAACATTAAGCTGATCAAATACCTTTTGATTTGAAGATTAGTTAATTCTTAAAACTTTTTTCTTCCTCCAAATGTTTTAGAAGTATAACAGCTTTTGTCTATAATAACTTAAGTGTGCATCTCTCTAGAGTCACTGTGTTGGGCCAGGTGACTCATCAAAGTTACATTTATGATCTGACACAACGAACAATTCAGCAAACACTGAATCACAGTTCATGTCCCATAAGAACATGACGTAGAACAAAATTAAAATTTATGACATTTGTGCCCAGGCCAGGTTGCTCAGTTGGTTGGAGTGTCATCCTGTACACCAGTTACAGGTTCGATTCTGGGTCAGGGCATATACCTAGGTTTCGAGTTTGATCCCTGGTTGGGTGCATATGGGGGCAACTGAGTGGTGTTTCGCACATCGTTGTTTGTCTCTCTCCCTTCCTCTCTTTCTAAAAATAAATAAAAACATATCCTCAAATGAAGATTAAAAGAAAATATATGACATAAGCAAATATTGGTCTACCAACCTATAATAGAAGGGTAATATGTTCATTAGACTGGACGTCTTTTGGACGTCATTCTGGATATCATTCCTGATGAAGCCAGGGCCGGAGGGAAGCCAGCCTGGGTCCCGGGTGCCTGCGGGCAGCCAGAGGAGGGAAGCAGCCCAGGTCCCAGGTGCTGAAGGGAAGCTGGTGCCAGGGGAAGGAAGGCCTACTCTTTCACGAATTTTCGTGTATAGGGCCTCTCGTTGTTAAGTAATGTTAGAAGGAATCAGGAATACTCTTTTTAAAAAAGATGTATTATTAATGATTTCAGAGAGGGAGAGATAGAAACATCAATGATGAGAATCATTGATCGGCTGCCTCCTGCATGCCCCCTAAAGGGGATTGAGCTGAGTCTGCAACCCAGGCATATGGCTTGACTGGGAAGAGAACCCTGACCTGCTGGTTCATAGGTCCATACTCAACCACTGAGTCACATCGGCCAGGCAGGAGTACTCTTTTCATTGCCTAACTTAAATTTAGCTTTAAACATAATACAATAAAGAAATTAACAAAATATATCTCAAGAATTACCTTAAAATCTTGTAAAACAACTAAAAAATATTGCATATTACAATATTTTGCTAATACCACCTTTAAAAAATAATATTCACATCAACTTAAAAATTAATCCTATACATATGTATACAATATACATATATAATCATACTTGCGTGATATTTGAAATGAAGATTTCTTTTGGTTCTTCTCCTGTTGTATCTAAAACTTCAAATTCATCACCAAAATCACAAAACAACCGTGACCAAATTCCATGTATATCTGCACTAATGAACTGTAAAATAGTAAAAAAAAGTTCAAGCTTATCTATTTATATAAAAAAAAAAACAGCTCAACTATCTTAGGCTTTTATGACAATTTCACTTACAATTAAGTATAACGTTTGGGATATAAAGTAAAACATGAATAGAACAAATTATTTTCCTGTAAATTGGTTTAGGAATCAAGAATTTTGGTATTTGGGACTTGATATCTAATGTTATAAAATTAGAAGCAATGTCTGCACATCATCATTATACATTCTATGATTTTTAGATAACAAAAATTCTTACCTTGCCCTAAAGTCAAGTACAGTATGTAAGAAGCAGATTATCTTGATTTCATGGGCTAGCAGTGAATTTTTACTTTTCATTTTAGAAAAGAATGGTGTGTCCATTCACCAAAAGCAGTAGTTAATAGAAAACAGAACAGAGCTAAAAGCTGAATAGAGTCAACAGAAAAAGGGCTGAGGAACTGACGAAAGGTAAAAATGAGATTCTTCAACGGAATCATAAATGCGTTAAAGTGATTTTTATTATACTACACCCTCCACTATTTTAAATCTGTACAGAAACTGTTTTCGTGTTCAGTTATTTTTAGAGTTATTGATATTCTCTCTCTTACTTGATCATGTATTACCTTTACTGTCAAAATAGTACACATAGCCATTTTTATGAGATATAACATTGAGTAAAACTTTTATATATTTAAGTTTAAAAGCTTAGACTTGAGGACAATTTCTTCCTTTTCAAAACAACTTTTAAAATGTGAATATATGTATCAACTACATAAACAAGTATTTAAGTTTATAAACTACTGTAATTATTTTGTAAAACTTGTGTGACCTATTATAAATTTACTGACCATTCCATGTCTTACTCATCTGTTTAATTTAAATTATGAACCATAGCACAAATGTTCTGCAAAGTGTAAAAATGCTATGTAATACCACAATCTGAAAGTACACCCATTTTATATAGTACAATTATGGCTTGGTGGCTATTTTAAACAGGATGAATAGCTTTTTCCAAAGAAACAAATGTCTCACTAAGGAGGTGGAACTAGCAATATGTATTCAATTGCAGAGAAAGAATTTTGCATTTTTTCATCTAAATCTCTTTCTAATATTCCCAGTGTCACTACTACTTACCTAATTAATCTGGAACAAAAGCTAGGAGTTATTCTTGGTCATTCTTTCCTTCACAACTCACAATGATCCAACTCTCAAGTTCTGCTAGCCTTTTCTTTTTTTCTTTTTTTTTAAATAAGTTCAATGACTCACAATCCATATTTGCTCCTCTCTTGAATAAGGCACCAATATCTCTCACCTGGATTACTGCATTAGCCCCTAACTGGCTTACCTGCCTCTATGCTATTCATTATTCAATAGTGTTCTTTTTGGTTTCATAACCCCTTCATGTTCCTAAAAATTATTGAGGGCCCAAAGAGCTTTTATTTATACCAGTTATACCTACTGATATCCAATGTGTTAGATATTAAAAGTGAGAAACATTTAAAACCCAAGAATACACACACACACACACACACACACTATATTAGCTGTCAGAGCAACTGTATCACTACACATCAAAGCCCGTGCCACATAAGAGAACCAGAGTGAAAAATGCAAATAACATTTTAGTAATATGAAATTTTATGAAAGGGTCTGTGTCCTTGGACTACACTTTTAAAAACTACTGCTAGAGTCTTCCCTCCACTCAGCACAATCAGAATGATCTTTTAAAAATGTAAATTAAATCAAAACTCACAGTCTTAAAACTCAGACATTCTTAACTGTGATCTGTAAGAAAATGGTCTTCTAACTACTTCTCCAACCTAATCCTCCGGCATCTTTTACTCCTACTGCTCTCTCTTTAACCAAACTCCCATTCTGGTCCTGCTTGCTTCCTTCTGCTTTTCAAACATACCAAGTGAAGTTGTATACTCGCAAGTCTTTATACTTGCACTTCTCATTGCTTTGAATGCTCTTCCTCAGATGTGTACTTAGCTAGCTCTTTTCATCACTCAGGGCTCTATTCAAATATCATCTCAGAGAAGATGTTCCCTGACATTCAGTCTAAGACAGCGGTTCTCAACCTGTGGGTCGCGACCCCTTTGGCGGTCGAAGGACCCTTTCACAGGGGTTGCCTAAGACCATCCTGCATATCAGATATTTACATTACGATTCAGAACAGTAGCAACATTACAGTTATGAAGTAGCAACGAAAATACATGAGGAACTGTATTTAAAGGGCCAGAAGATTGAGAACCACTGGTCTAAGAGAACCAGCACTGGCCCCATCCTAACATCATGATGATGTTATACTCTATTTTTTACCTAGCTCTTTTCTTCATAGGACCTGAAGGACTTATTTGTTTATTTTCATAAGGAAAATTTGTATGTCCTATTCACTAATGTATTCCTAGTGTCTGGAACTGTATATGTTTAGTGAATTTGTTAAAAGAACCAAAGTATCATCACCATACCATACTAAAGTTAGATGACGAATTCACTATTTATCATCCTTTCTATTTCTAGTCTTTATTCTTCCTTAGTTTTGGTAATCTGTCTATAAACCAAATTTAGATCTTAGTTTTAAAAATATGAAATAAATATGATACCAAATTAAAAGAGAAAAATATTACTGTGATTGTCCTCATATAAAAAGAGCTTTTATACAATCCAATGAAAAGCTAAAAGTTTTAATAGTGAAAGTGTCCTTCCTTTGGTTAACTACCTGTCATTATTAAGTGATACTATTACCTTAATTGGAGGGCACTGAGAACGGCAAAACTCATTGATTTTCTTCTGCAATGGAAGTCTGATCTCAGTCAATACTACACACTGTTGAGAAAAAAAAAAGACTAAAAACTAAAGAATACACAATTATTTTGGTAATGTACTTCTAAATCAGAATCATTTCAATTTTATACTCAAAATACAATAGGATTCCAACCAAAAGTTAATATCCTCAGAGGTATCTATACTAATAATAGCCTAGGTGGTATCACGCTCTCACGTCATCACAAGATGGCCGCACACACAGCAGAGGTGGGACCTGGGGGTCTCATGGCTCTGCGCAGCGCTGAAGAGGTCAGTCTCGGTGTCTCCACCGCCTCGCACGGAGGTGGTGGGTCCCAGAGGAGGAGGCAGGTCACAGCAGAGGGGAGCAGTTGTGGGTAATCAGGTCAGCAGGGGAGGGTAGTTGTGGGCAATCAGGCTGGCAGGGGAGCAGTTAGGCGTCAATCAGGCTGGCAGGGGAGCAGTTAGGGGGGGATCAGGCCAGCAGGCAGAGGGGGGTAGGGGGGATCAGGCTGGGCGAGCAATTAAGTATCAGTCTGGCAGGGGAGTGGTTAGGGAGCAATCAGATAGGCAGGCAGGCAAGTTGTTAGGAGCCAGAGGTCCAGGATTGAGAGAGACATGTCCAACTGCTGGTTTAGGCCCACAGGGATCAGGCCTAAACTGCCAGTCGGACATCCCCCAAGGGGGCCCTAATTAGAGAGGGTGCAGGCCGGGCTGAGGGACACCCCCCCCAAACACACACACACACACACACACAAAACCATCGTACACAAATTTCGTGCACCGGGCCTCTAGTGGAATAATAAAAGCAAAAACAACATAAACAAGGGAAAACCTACTCACATTAAATTCAATTACCATCATAGACTTCACAATTAGAAGCAAACTGTAATTTCCTGTGGAATTTATGCACTCCAAATGATTAGAGCTTTTGTTTTGTCTGTTACTGCTATGAAAATACAAACCTAGTCACCAGAATACTAATTTAAAGTATTTAGTTAGCCTAAAGGATTAACAATGACATTTTTAAAGAGATATATTAGTTGGCTTAGTTTTCTCTTACTTCAGAGATTCAACAGATTCACAATATAACTACTTCTGCTTTAATAGTTTCATTAGTGAAACCACAAAGTTCTGTAATAAATATCAAATTTAATTTTCAATGCTTTATTTTTTATCATTACCCTGTGAGATAAGTAGAGAAGATTTTATAATCAGATTTTATCATAATTGATAAAGGTCAAATACTTTCTTAGAGTAATTAGCAGAGCTAGACTCTTAGTCCAGAGCCTTCCTTGTTGCTGGTTTCCATGACTTGTATTACTTAGTTTTACTACAAATATCCAGGTATTTAGTGGCATACTTTCTACAAGGAGAGTACTTCCCCATGGGCCTCTCACTGTATACGTCTCAGGAGGTATACAATGAATGCAAGGTCCTGACCATTTTTTACTTGTGCCATTTCTCAGGACAGTATTTGTCACATACAACTTGAGGAATGAGGTCATGTCTCCCTCTGGGACAAAGAAGGAAACTTGTTTATTGCTTACTGTAAAACATTAAGACAAAGCTCAGTGTTCCTCTCTTCTAAAGGAACCCACTACATGTGCCCTCTTGCACTTCACTAGGATTTGGGGGAAGACAAGAAGAAATAAGATAAATACAATACTCATACTTCTTCCCATGCTCTGAATAGTAAAGTTCTTAAGTCTGTAACCCAAGAATCTCATGTATTCTTGCCAGTGTTCATCAAATAGTGACACTTTGACTTAGCTTGTAAACAGGATCAAATCAATTCTAAGTATATCCCGTCTGGTGTGGCTTAATTGGTTGAGCATCATCCCATGTACCAAGAGGACACCAGTTTAATTCCAGTCACAGCACATGCCCAGGTTGCAGACTCGATCCGCAGAAGGGGGCATGTGGGAGGCAGCTGACGGGTGTTTCTCTCTCATCATTGATTTTCTCTCTCTCGCCTTCCTCTCTCTCTAAAATCAATAAAAACATACTTAAAAAATATTCTGAGTATATATTGAATATTAACTTTTTTCATCAATGCTACAAAATTCTCAGCCAGAGTTAGAGAACTGCTTCTTGTGGGGAGAAAACTGACACATATATGGTCACACGGTGCCTGAAGAAGAGTAGAGGAGAAACACAGGAGTATTTTTTTCCCCTAGACAATGGGTAACACCATAATCTGATCATAGGGAAAACCAGGGTGAATCTAGTCACTTTTAGAACATCCACAATGTTTAGAATTTTTATTATTTAAGGTTATCTGAAGTAGATCCCCATGTTTTACATTTCTGTAACTGGATTAGATCACCTTTAACCCATGACCTTAGGAAGAGAAGAGTGCACTTTCCTATTCCTTTACTTTAGGCTTGACTGTGTGACTTGCTTTGGCTAATGTATTATTAAATGGAAGTAACACAGAAGCTTGACATATGTGTAGATGGTTGGACTTGCCCCTTTGCATTTCTGCTATCGCCATCAGACCATGTCCTAGGTAGCTCCCTGTTCCCAGAAGAGAGGCACATGGAGCAGAACCCAGACTCTGGAGTTCAAGTTCAATCTAGAATATCTGAACTCCAACTGACATGCAAATACATAAGAAAGGAAAAAACACATGTTGCTATAAACCACTGTGTTTGGGTAGATTTTTATGCACAATACTGTGAAGATAGCTGACTAATGTAATTGCTTTGTCAGAAGTTTATAGGCCCTTTGCCTAAAATGAAGCATTAGAAATATATTATTCTAAAGGAAATCTTTTATCCTGAAAATTTTTTTTCTGCTCGACAGAAGAGGTTAGTTATTTCACATTAATACTTAATGATTTGCCTTGAAATTTGTCAATAACCACCAATATTAAATGGTGCACCAACCTGGTATTTATCTAAGAAGGAGAGATCTGTGGTTTCATTTAAAGGAAGAGAAGATGATGTAACATGAACATATGGATTTAGTTCTGCAATATGTTGAAGAACAGCTTCAGCCCTTAAAAAAAAAAAAAAGAAAAGAAAAAGAAATTACCTTTAGTATTTTTTCATTCAATATACTCAATCTCAAACTTGGACACTTTTACATCAGAGGAATCTGAATGTCACAAAATTTCAACAGAAATTTAATAAGGTGTAGAAGAAAAAAAGCTGAGACATATTTATATTTACAGATGACTAGACAATCTTGAGATGTAGCATACTATTGTATTTCATAGGAAGACACAATCTCAAAGTGCACCCTTATAGTTTCAAGCTCCAAACTCCTTAATTCTTTTAATGATTCAGCAATAATAAAGACTTCCTTTAACAATCTTTAAAAAATACATTCCTAGGTAGTAATGTGAATATCTTAAAAATTTGACAAATATAATTAAGTAAATATATGTCAATACTTATTTATCAAGGGCAGTATAACTTTATGGCGATGAGTTAAACAACTGCGAATGAACTAGTGTTCTGGATACAGATAATATTCTAAGTAATTGCAAGAATAAAAATAATGTCCTGCCTTAGCTGGTTTGGCTCAGTGAATGTCGGCCTGCAGACTAAAGGGTCCTGGGTTTGATTCTGGTCAAGGGCACGTGCCTGGGTTGCAGGCTCGATGATCCCCACTAGGGAGTGTGCAGGAGGCAGACAATCAATGATTCTCTCTCCTCATTAATGTTTCTATCTCTCCCCTCCTCTCTCTTCCTATTGAATCAATAAAAATATATTTTAAAAAAATTTTCTATGATAATACATCAAAATATCTTATCTTCACCTGTTTCTCATATTAACAACATCATCTTCACAGAGAAAGAAATTGGTTCCTAGATCCCATGCTTGGCATTTCTCTACATCATGAATTGTAAGTGCCTTCAAAAAAAGGAAAATATCTGTTAATTCAAAATAGGACAAGGATGTTCACCATCTACAATATTATTTACATTATATTAAAAATATTATCCTGCGTAATTAAACAACAGAAAGTAAGGCTTAAGAATTCAAAGATGAAATGACTATACATATCAGAAAACCCAGAAAAAGTAATGAAAAAAACTATTTCCAACAGTAAGAGAATTTAAATTTTTGGAAAGCAGCATTTTAGATAAAGCATCACATAAAAAAATTTAAAAATTCACATAAATAAGCATTTCTGAATGTTCCACGTTCAAAGTAAGAAAGGTAATTGACTAACTATAAAAAAATGTTTGTGACCTGTATTACAGGCCACAAGAAAATTTAAAAAAAGGAGGCATGGGTTCTGGTCAGGTGACAGCTCAGTTTGTAGCAGCATCGTCCTGTATACCAAAACGGTTGTGGGTTCGATCCTTTGTCGAAGCAAGAACAGGAGGCAACTGATCGATGTTTCTCTCTTACATTGATGTTTCTCTCTCTCTAAAAATCAATGAAAACATCTTCTCGGGTGAGGATTTATATTATTTTTTATTGACTTTTTAGGGAGGGAGAGAGAGAAAGAGAGAGATGTGAGAGATACATTATCGGTTATCTCCTGTAAGTGCCCTGATGAAGGTCGAAACCTCAACTCAGGCATGTGCCCTGACCAAAAAATCAACCCACAACCTTCCTGTGTACGGGAGGATGTACTAACCAACTGAGCCAAACCGGCCAGAGCCCTCCCTCGGGCGAGGATTTTTTTAAAAAAGGGCATGGTATATGAAAACAAATGATACTGGAAAAGAAATGCATTTGGCCTTGTAAAATATTGAAGCATGTTCAATCTTGCTCAAAATTGAAATATCTTTTCTCATTCTAGAATGGTATGAAGTCCAAAAGTTTGACAATATACTCTATTGATGAGAATGAGATGAATCAGGTACTTCAATACATCAGTGGTGGAAGTGTTAGGCTGCACAACCTCAATGGAAAAGAATTTTGCAATCTCTAGCAAAATGACATGTACATTTATACTTTGATATAGTAATTCCACCTTTAAAAATCTATACCAAAGACACACTGGGAAAAATACAAAAAGACATGGATATGAGTATTAACTGCAACAATATTTATAATAGCAAAAGGTTGGAAATAAAACATTCATCAGTGAAGAAGTGGGTATAATAATATATGCTACATTGACAAATTGTATATCCATGCAGCTATTTAAAAAAAGGAATACATCCTATATAATATCCTATATAATAAAAGGCTAATATGCAAATTGTCCCCTGGGAGTTCGACCAGGAGACAGGAAGTTCAATCGCTCGCTGTGACGTGCACTGACCACCAAGGGTTGGCACGGAACATGGCGGGCAACCAGTGGTGGCAGTGGGGCTCTGAGGGAGCGAGGGGAGGAGGAGACATGGAGGTGAGGAGGCGGGGAACCTGACTGGCCCTGATCACTGGCCAGGCCTAGGGGTCCTCACACTGCACAAATTTCCACAAATTTTGCACCGGGCCTCTAGTATACATAATTATATATATATATATAATTACCAATATGGGATAAACCCAGAACATACTATTAAATGATAAAAAGCAAGATGGAGGAAAGTATGGCTCTTTATCTAAGAAAGGCAGGTGGGAATATATATGTACAAACGCATAAAATTTTCATATTTATCTGTTTTGTTTATATTTAAAAACAGATGAAAAAAGGGGGTGAGCTAATAAGGAAAGGAGGGTATAGGTTACAAAGAAGCTAGGCTTACCTGAATATATACTTTGTTTTATAAAACTGACTTTGAATTTTTTAAGTCTCACATAATATTAATACTACGTTAAATCATTATTCAGTTTTAGTAGTTTTTTGGTGGAAACCTTAAGGGTTCTTTACATACTGTATCTTGTCATCTGCAAATAATGACATTTTTACTTTTTCCTATTCAATTTGGATCTCTTTTATTTCTTCTTCTTGTTTGATTGCTGTGGCTAGGACTTCCAGCACTATGTTGAATAAGAGTGATGAAAGTGAACATCCCTGCCTTGTTCCTGATCTTAAGGGAAACGCTTTAATAGCAAAAGTTGGAAATAAAACATTCATCAGTGAAGAAGTGGGTATAATAATATATGCTACATTGACAAATTGTATATCCATGCAGCTATTTAAAAAAAGGAATACATCCTATATAATATCCTATATAATAAAAGGCTAATATGCAAATTGTCCCCTGGGAGTTCGACCAGGAGACAGGAAGTTCAATCGCTCGCTGTGACGTGCACTGACCACCAAGGGTTGGCACGGAACATGGCGGGCAACCAGTGGTGGCAGTGGGGCTCTGAGGGAGCGAGGGGAGGAGGAGGCAGGGAGGCCAGGAGGTGGGGAACCTGATCGGCCCTGATCGCTGGCCAAGGCTAGGGACCCTACCTGTGCACAAATTTTGTGCACTGGGCCTCTAGTATATTATATAAGCTATCATATTGGTAGTTTTTTTACATTAATACTACGTTAAATCATTAAAAAAAAAAAAAAAAAATCATAAAAAAGCAATCCCTAAAAATCCAAGCAAAATAAATAAATGGACAAAACTACCTATTGAATTTGTTGCATAACTGCCCAAAGGAATGACTTAAAGTGACTAAAAAAAAAAAAAATCTTAAAACGTTTTAAAATTACTAACTGTTTTTGATAGTAATCATATTGTTATTAATATTGGAATTGTTTTGCTGAAAAAATTTTACAATCAGTAGCAATCAAAGACTACTGGGGTGTGCCAAGAGGACTCAAGAACTTGAAGAAGATCTGAGCAAGGAAAGGTAAAACATTATGAGCATCAATGAGAACAGCTACTATAACAGATCAAAACCTATCAAATCTGAGTTTGTCATCATATTCACACACTCATACACAAACACACATGTTCACTGGCTACTGCTGGGGGATGAAAGAAAAACCACTGATTTGAAAACTGGTAAATAAAGTGGGAAAATATCAAATATTTCTTCTGTTCTTCAAATAGTACCACTTTAGCAGAACCAAATATGTGATGAATGACAAATTTTCTTTCTAAATATTATTCCAGCTAATAAACAAAAAGAATGACAGAATTAGAATATCACTGCCATTAATAAAATAATGAATCGAGGCAATAATCATTAATAGGTAGTAATAACCACAAAGAGAGAGACAACAGGATATTATTTCCTCCTCAGGGGAGAACAAAATATCACCTGTGAAGTAGTGGCGCCAGAAGAATCAAATATGAATCTGACTGTCTGAATATAACTACCAGTTTACAGGAAATACAGAAGTAGAGGTGTATGTGATAAATAATCTAGTTTCTTTTACAAATTGCAAGGAGGAGTGGGGAAACAGAGAAGGGAAATCTATAGATTAAAATAAATCAAGTTTAGTGTATGGACTTTACTTGGATCTTGATTAGAACAAAAATTTTTGAAAAAATATCTCAGAAGATAATTGGGAAAATTTGAACTTTAACTAGATATTTGATGATTGTGGTAGGCTTTTAAGATGACCCCAATAATTCTCATTTCCTGGTATTTAGGCCTTTATGTAATTCCCTCCGCTTGAGTGTAAGCAAGACCGAGTGACTTGCTTTTGAGGAATACAGCAGAGAGGATTGAACGTCACTTCTGAGATTAGATTACTAAAGACTGGTCTGCTAGAACAGTGGTCGGCAAACTCATTAGTCAATAGAGCCAAATATCAACAGTACGACTGAAATTTCTTTTGAGAGCCAAATTTTTCAAGCTTAAACTATATAGGTAGGTACATTGTTATTAACTTAATTAGGGTACTCGTAAGGCTTAGGAAGAGCCACACTCAAGGGGCCAAAGAGCTGCATGTGGCTCGCGAGCCGCAGTTTGCCGACCACGGTGCTAAAACATTCCCTTTCTTTTCTTCTTGCTAGCTTACTCTGATGAAGCAAACTGCCCTATGGAGAGGGCCACATGGCAAGGAATTGATTTAACAGCCAGAAAGGAGCTGAGGTGAGAATGTGAAGTGGCACAACTTTGCCACTGAATCCTTTCAATAACTACCTGAGCCACCTTGGGAAGCAGATCCTTACCCTAGATGACCACAGACCCTGCCAGTATCTTGACTGGAGCCTTGTTAGAAACCCTCAAACAGAGGAACCAACTAAGTTTTGTCTGATTCTTGAGTCACAGAAACTGAGATAGATGCTCCTGTTTAAGTTGCTAAGTTGTGGGGTAATTTATTTTGCAGCAACAGATAACTAATACAGTGAAATTAAGAAGCATTTTTTAGGTGTGAAAATGGTATTGTAGTTATATTTTCAAAAGGGACCCTTATCTTTTAGAACCATATACTAAAATATTTAAGGAGTGTATAATAGGATGTCTGAAACTTACACAAAAATAATTTGGTGGTTGGGGTAAGCAGTGGGGAATGGGGAGGAGATACATGAAAACAAATTAAAATTTGTCTATGAGCTGATAATTGTAGCTGCATGATGGGTACATGGGGTTTTTCAAAACATTTTTTTTTCAAATTTTTAAATTTTCTATAAGTTTTTTTAAAAAGACTGAAGAATTAAAACAATTTTGCTACTAAATAAAAAAGCAATAATTAACTCAAAGTATAAGTAATATTACTTCTGAGAAGCAAAAGATAAATTTAAAAAAAGGGTTTATAACAAATAAGAGTTTAAAACAAATACCAAGGACATTTACTCACCTTAATTCCTGCAAGAACAAGATTCTTTGCTATAAAGAAAAAGGAAAAAGAATAGTTCAATATTAGGAATGTATAACAGATATGTCTTCATGGAGCTTCATCACATCCCTGACTAAATAATTTTAACTTTTTTACTACTTAAGTAAGAAATAAATGTCCCGAAGAAGGTACAGATTAACAAAAATAAAAAATAAAATAAAATTTTCCATAATCATATCACACTGAGATAATTACTCTTAAAATTTTAATGTATTCTTCCAAATATACTATTATAAATATATGTATATGTGGCCTACCATAATAAATTAACAAATACAGTGAATAACCACTAATGACTATTAACATCACAAAGAGAATCAAGAGAGTCATTATCATTACTGGTTCTTTCTGGAAGAATATAACAATACTGCGAAGTAGTCTTTCCAAAATAATTAGACCTGATTAAGGTTTTGAATTTACTTTTCTTTAGAGAAATAATACATGGGGAAGGTGTTAAATCTTGAAATTACGCTCAAAAGTGTCACGTAAAATTATAAATAAAAACTACTGCTTACCAATTTCCAAACCAAGACCACCCATACCACTTAAGAAAATATGGGACTTGGCCATCTTCTGCATTGCTGTGTCTCCAAGAACGTACCTCTGTCGACTACATGTAAAACACAATGAAAAACAATACATTAAGTCATTAAAATTATATATCCTTTTAAAGTTGTTTGCAAACAACCTGGCAACTAGATCCCGCCCAGAGACTCATTTTGGATCATTTGCATAACGTTTACATTTTCTGAATTAATTGCTAAATAAAGTATGAAAAGTAGATTAGAGGCAAGAGTAGCTCTAAAGAGATCACATAAAAGAATAACAGATCATTGAGAGATGCCAAATTTAGGGAGAGGAAATGAAAGAGATGGAATTAAGATTTGCTCAGAAAATGAACTGGAAGCATTTTAAAAATTAATTGAATTTGGAGGATAACAAATAGGGAAAAAAAACTAAGATGACACCATATTCCTATCTTAGGTTACTAAGTGGGTGTGATAAGCATTTAATTAAGCTTGGGAATAGGAAGAGGAAGAAAACGGGATCCAAATGGTGTTGAGTGCTACTTTATGCCAAAAACTAGCACTCAATAATGTAAATTTATATTAATAATTTTAGATAAAAATTTTAGACTAAGATGTTATTCTTTTTTGAGCTTTTTAAATTTTTATTTCTTGATTAAGATATTACATATGTGTACTTAAACCGCCATTACACCCCGCAACCCTCCCGCTCATGCCCTTACCCCCCTGTTGTTTGTGTCCGTTGGTCAGGCTTACATGCAAGTCCTCTGGTTGATCTCTCCCTTTACACCCACCCTCCCCTACCTTCTCTGAGGTTTGACAGTCTGATTAATGCTTCTCTGTCTCTGGATGTTTCTGTTCATCAGTTTATGTTGTTCATTATAGTCCACAAATGAGTGAGATCATGTGATATTTACCTTTCTCTGACTGGCTTATTTTGCTTAGCATAATGCTATCCAGTTCCATCTATGCTGTTGCAAACAGTAAGAATTCCTCCTTTTTTTTTTCCTGCAGTGTAGTATTCCACTGTGTAAATGTACCAAAGTTTTTTAATCCACTCATCTGCTGATGGGCACTTAGGCTGCTTCCAAATCTTAGCTATGATAAATTGTGCTGCTATGAACATAGGGGTGCATATATCCTTTCTGATTGGTGTTTCTGGTTTTTTGGGATATATTCCTATAAATGGGATTACTTGGTCAAATGGAAGTTCCATTTTTAATTTTTTGAGCAAACTCCATACTGTTCTCTACAGTGGCTGCACCAGTCTGCATTCCCACCAGCAATGCACGAGGGTTCCTTTTTCTCAGCATCCTCGCCAGCACTTGTCATTTGTTGATAGCAATTCTGACAGGTGTGAGGTGGTCGTTTTGATTTGCATCTCTCAGATAATTAGTGACTTTGAGCATGTTTTCATGTCTCTTGGCCTGCTTTATATCCTCTTTCGAAAAGTATCTATTTAGGTCAGTTGCCCATTTTTTGATTGGGTTATCTTCCTTTTGTTAAGTTGTATGAGTTCCCTGTAAATGTTGGAGATTAAACCCTTACTAGTGATAACATTGGCAAATATGTTCTCCCATGCAGTGGGCTTTCTTGTTGTTTTGTTGATGGTTTCTTTTGCTGTGCAGAAGCTTTTTATTTTAATGTCGTCTCACTTGTTTATTTTCTCTTTAGTTTTAATTGCCCTAGGAGCTGAATTGGTGAAGATATTGCTTCAGCACATGTCTGAGATTTTGCTGCCTATGGACTCCTCTAATATTTGTATGGTTTCCCATCTTATGTTTAAGTCCTTTATCCATTTTGAGCTTATTTTTGTGTACGGTGTAAGTTGGTGGCCTAGTTTCATTTTTTTTTGCGTGTATCTGCCCAAGTTTCCTAACACCATTTATTGAAGAGCCTGTCTTGACTCCACTGTATGTTCTTGCCTCCTTTGTCAAATATTGAGCATAGTGGTTTGGGTTGATTTCTGGGTTCTCTATTCGATTCCATTGATCTATATGTCTGTTCTTGTGCCAGTACCAGGCAGTTTTGAGAACAG